CGGCAGTTTTAGCCAGAGACGATATCGGGTTTTAAACAATTCCTTTTTACAGGTAAGCTACTACTGCAGCAGTACGACGCTTTGTACGGCAAAGCGACACCCCGCTTCTGCAGCACACAACGCTTATGACAACACCACGCTGAGGGCGTCTCTTTGCGGTTCACCGCTGACGACACGGACAACACGGCCCAAAATGTATGTATGTATGTATGTATGTATGTATGTATGTATGTATGTATGTATGTATGTATATGACTTAGATTTTTTGTATGTATGTATGTCGGTAATAGTAAAAAGGTCCACAGAAGAGCAGTTCAGTTGCGTCTCGTGGCGGCTTCGGACCCACCTTGAGCAACTTTGGTGTTCCGCAATTTTCAGGACGTCAGCCGGCAGTGGCAGTGGCAGTGGCAGTAGCAGTAGCAGTGGCAGTAGCAGTGGCAGTGGCAGTAGCAGTAGCAGTGGCAGTGGCAGTGGCAGTAGCAGTGGCAGTAGCAGTGGCAGTAGCAGTGGCAGTAGCAGTGGCAGTGACAGTGACAGTGGCAGTGGCAGTGGCAGTAGCAGTAGCAGTGGCAGTGGCAGTAGCAGTGGCAGTAGCAATGGCAGTGGCAGTAGCAGTGGCAGTGGCAGTGGTGGCTCTCCGTCCGCAGGTCCCTCGATTTCCCCCACCCTTTGCCGTACACCCTAAACCCCTTTGCCGTACATCCTACTACGCCCCTCCATCCCCTCACCGTAATACTCCGAAACCAGGTCGGGGCCGTTGAGGAGGAAGACGGAGGTGACCCCCGCGTCGGCAGCAGCGGCCCGGGCGAGCAGCGTCTTACCGCTACCGGGAGGGCCGTACAGCAGTACACCCCGGGGGGGACGGATCCTGAAAACACACACACACACACAGAGGCGATGATGTGCCCTTTGCATTACGGTATAGAAAGTACCCACAGTTAGACATGGACGCAATGACGTGACGCCGCAATCCCGGCGCCCCTCCCCCTCCCCCACATCTCCATACCACCCCCTCCACCTATAGGGCGGTCTTGTTCGTTGCGGCTGGGCAGCAGCCCCGGGCCAATGCCGGCCCCGGCAAGGTAGGTAGCATACACACGTACATACTCACGTACACCCCACTCACCCGTACAGACGGAACAGGTGAGGTGCCCTCAGCGGTAGGCACACCAGCTCCCTCAGTGCGGCTCTGTGGGGCCCAACTCCGCCTAGCTGGGAGAAGTCAACCCCCTGGCTTGCGCTGCCTGTATGTATGTGTGTGCACGTGTGTGCATGTCAGTGAGTATGCGTGTGAAGGGCGGGAAAAGGGGGGAGTGCAAAACCCTAACGATTTACTGCGACTGCCGATATTTAGTAAAGGAGTGGGGAAAGGGGGTTGGGGTTTAGGACACCCCGTCTTACAAGTTCAGGAGGAACGATGTGTTGCCAGGTTAGGATACCCTCCTGCTAGCGGACAGCCTTCAGGTCCTGCAGCTGTGCAGATAGCTGCGGGTGCTGCCGGCGGCGGATGCGTCGAGGCATGTCGTATGTCGCATGTCACGACATACATACATAACATACATACATACGTACTAATAGCGCACAATTTCCCCCCTCCCTCAGCTTCACTCGCTCGTAGTTCGTCTTTCCTACCCCCCTCTCCCCCCCCCCCCACACACACACACCGGCGAGGAGGGACCTCTCCGCCGCATCCGCCGCCGCCTCAGCGGCGCTCTCCGAAACCACTGCCATCGCAGCCTCCCGGGCTATCGCCACCCGCCGTACAATACTGTCCACCGCGGCCGCCGCCGCCGCTCCCTCATCCTCCTCACCGTCCCCTGCCGCCGCTGCCGCCGCAAACTGTCCGGGTAACGGCTCGCCAGGGTACAACACAACCACTTGGGTGTCTCGTCCAACTTCCAACAGAACGCAACGACCACCGGTTCCCCTACCGCCGCCGGCGCTGTTGTCCCCAGAAGGCGACAATGGTGGCGCTGTTGCTGCAACGGCTGCGACTCGAAGTACGACACTGGTTCCCAGCACCGGAAGTACGACAGGTCCCCCTTCCATCAAATGCCGCCCCGCCAGGTGCCGCCGAGCCACCGCCGTCAGCGCGGATCGTGTGGCCTCGTCGCCGGCAGCAGCCGCCCGCCGCAACATGTCCAGCGGCCACTGATGTAGCAGCCCGCCGCCGCCGCCGCCGATGCCAGCTGCAAAGCCCGTGTCGCCGCCGCCTTGGCTACTGCCGCTGCTGCTGGCGGCGGGTGCAGGGCTACGGCCGCTGTTGCTACTGCTGGCGGCGGCGGCGGTGGTGGTGGTGGTTTTAACCCCTCCCTTCGTAATGGGCGTGCTGAACGCCGGCGGAGTACGGCCCGTCTGACCACTTCCCGGTGCGGTTAGGGCGCCCGTGACCATGAGGCCGCCGCAGTTGCTCCCACCACCGCCGCCGCCGCCGCCGCTGTTGCTGATGTTGTTGTTGTTGCCATCACCGCTGGCGCCACCGGCCGTACCAATGCCACTGCTACTGCTACTGCTTCCGCCGCCGTACAAGAGGTTCACACGGGGCTGTAGAAGTGCTTCCCCGCACAGCTGTAGCACCACGGCTCCGCCACCGCCGCTGCTACCGCCATTACCCAGGGGACACGAAATAGCTGTAGCTGTCGAGGCTGTAGCTGAGGTCGCCGTTCCGGGCGTCCCCAGGCCGCAGGATGATGATGGCGCTGCGGAAGATACTGGTGCTCCAGGCAGCACGGCGGAGGGGCGGTACAACAGTACGACAGATCCGGGTGGTTGCTGTCCCGCGACTTCCCGTACCGCGGGGCTAATCAGCGCACCGGATCGGGGGAGTTTGGTGGCGGGCCATACACGTGCGGGCAGGAGGTGGGTGCCTGGTTGCTGGGGGGCCCCAGGGAGACCGCCGGGGCTTGGACCTGGGGTGGGGGGTGGGTATGTGGTGGTTGAGGTCGTTGAGGTCGTTGTGGTTCTGCTATCCAGATCTGTGGGGGAAACGTATCCAGGGGGCCCCGGGTTGTGTGTGGGGGTGGGTGGGAGTGAGAAATGACAGAAGCTAGGACGGTGCCGATGGTGCACCAGCTGTGCTGTGTTGGTCGCGGGTAACAACGTTCACATATCCCATGTCACACGCAGAGCTGGTAAGGGAGCCCTGACGGGCGCACACCCCTGCCAGCCCGCACGTCCGTCCGTCAGTCTATCTGTTTGTCTGCCTATCTCTACGTGTCCTTGCCCCGCTTCACTCCCTGTTTACAGAATCCTGCACTCCTACAACTTAGCGCATTCTGACCAACAGTCACTTTACCCCTCCCTCTTTTTATAGTTTCCTTGACGTTGCACTGCACATGATGATCCCCCC